AATCTCAAGCATTTTAAATCAATTACATATACATAGGAGTTGTTAAGAGAGACATAGAAATATTATTTTTATTTATGATTTATTTATGCATATAGGAGCTGAGGTATAGGCCAGAGGGTGGGGGTTAAGAGGACTCGCCAGAGGACAGAGTGGGGAGCAGAACAGGCAGGTTGAATGAAATACACAGCTAAACAGCAGGCAAAACAGGAGAGGTCTGCTGTGCCATGTGGGTTCAACCTCCCACATGGAGGTTGAACCACAAAACTCCTATGTGACATGGGTCTTGGTGTGGTGATTTTTAAAATCTGATTCCAAAAGCAAAAATAATTAAGTGGAGGTACCTTAAACTAAAAAGCTTCTGCACAGCAAAGGAAATCAACAAAATAAAAGGCAACCTACTGAATGGGAGAAATGCTTGCAAATCATATCTTCGTATCTCTGCTAATAGGTTAATATCCAAATGCTATAAAGGATTTAAAGGATTAATACAACTCAGTAGCAAAAAAAAAAAAAAAAGAAAAGAAAAGAAAAAGAAAAGAAACAATCTGATAAAAAGTTGTCAAAAGATCTGGATAGTCATTTCCTTAAAGACATAATGATAGCTAACAGGCATATGAAAAGATGGTCAGCATTACTAATTAGGAAATGCTAATCAAAAACACTTTAGCATGGCTAGTATCAAAAAAGTAAGGAGTAACAAGTGTTGGAGAGGATGTAAAGACAAGGGAACATTTGTACTGAGTTGTGAATTGTCACAACCACCATGAAAAACATGGGAGTTTCCTCAAAAAATTCAGAATGGGGCTACTATATGAATTAGCAGTTCCATTTCTGAGCATTTATTTGAAGACTGTGAGAACACTAATTCAAAAAGATACATGTGCCCCTATGTTCATTGTAGCATTATTTGTAGTTGCCAAGATAGGGAAACAAGCTTTGTGTCCATTGATGGAAAATGGATAGTGAAGATGTGGTATATATACATTGTAGAACTGCTAAGTGAAATAAGAGAAAAATACAGGAAGACTTCATTCCCTGTAATATAAAAGTAAAATCTAGACAAAATTGAAATTCATAAGTTAGTTGTTATCAGAGGGAAATGGCTTAAGGGCTAGGTGAAACAGGTAAAGGATGTCATAGTGTAATCAAGGATGGAAATTAGATTTTGGTGGTGATCGTTTGTAAGGTAGTGAATTATATTGTACACCTGAAAATTACATAATCTTACAAACTAGTGATACCTCAGTAGTAAAGTGTGATACATACATACTTACATTTTGGGGTATTCTGCTGAATACCTTGCTATTTGTGCTGATATGGTTGGTCCTCAAGGGCATTCTGCTAAGTGAAATGAAGCAAACAGAAAAAGACAAACACTGTGGGTAATGTATGGTTACAGATTAATTAGACTTATCATGGTGGTGGTTTTGAAATATATGCAAATATGAAATTATGTGGTGTAACTAAAAGTATTACCTGTCTATAAGTGAGTGGATTTTTAGAGTGAAGAAGCAGCTATAGATCACACATAATTTGGGTATGAAAGATTGCTTGAGATTTGCAAGGCACAGACTGATCTGTTATTCTTATCACGATATTTATGGAGTGCTTAATATAGTGCCAAATGTCTAGCTGCACAAAAACATGACAGGACTTCTTTGGTCTTGGGGAACTCCCTGTGGTGCTTTACTTTAGGACAAGGTGTATTTATCAACCCTGTGAATGGGTGGGGCAGCAAGCAGGATGGGGCATGGGGAAACTGGAACAGAGCTAGTGGTAGGCCTGAGGATCTGCATTTCTAAACAAGCTCTTAGTTAATGTTCATGTAGTGGACTACACTTTGAAAAACACTTCTGGAGCAAATGGGCGCTCAGCCAGTAAACAATTAAAGAAAAGAGTGATTATCCTTGTAATTTGGTTTCCCATGTTTTATTTTTTTTTCTAGATACAATGATGTGGAAAAGGCTTTTAGTATTTGTAGAATTAGTTATGTGAAAATACAAATTATATTTTCCATTTGTGGGTTTTAAAGAAACATTTTTGAAGATTAATTGATGGGGTAATTGCTTGAGAGATTTGTAGTTTCCCAGAAAGCATATTATTACATTAGTGGTTGGCATGAAAATGTAATGTAGTCCATTTGTGAGAGCTTCTTTGGAAAGTTATATGACTCTTTGGCAGGAAGAGGAATACTGACAGCTGAAACAGTTGAAACCATAGATAACTGGCCTAAATTAACTCTCTCAGAGAAAGAGAGACTAAAGCAACCTAAAGGTTATAATTATGATACTGAATTTGTGTATTATATTACTGAATTTTGATACTACAATACTAAGAACTGTATTAGTACTAGCAATTAATTATATTAGTATTTACATTTATAGTGTGTTATATAGAATATAATTCATTAGTCTTTACAATACTAGAAATTTTGTCCAGATGGAGACTTAACTTTATAATCAGATAGGCCACTTGTATACAGGCAGGTAATTGAGAAATTCCTGAGCTCCTTATTCCCCACCCATAACATGAGGGACACAGAAACACTCTGTGCCCCACAGACATTTAAAACCTCACCTGACCCCAAGCCCTGGGAGAAAGGTGCTTTGGCACTTGAGCTCCCCTTTCTCCATTGTCAGACCTTAATGAAGATGTTGCTCTGGACTTTACTGAACTCCGCTGGTGGGCTGTTAGCTTTCAGTCACCAGAGACTGGATCTTCTCATTTAGATTGGTGACATTACTGCTGTCCTTGGAGCCTTAGCAAGTAGCCATTGGTCCTGCTGCAATGGGGAAACAGAGACCATGACATGAAAGGGTCTCTAAACAACCTCCATTCACACCCATCCTCAATTTGGAGATAACACACACACATCCCTCTTCTTTATCCTGATCTCTCCAGTATAGACTTTGTTTCACAGTTAGGGTGCTTTCGAGAAACTAATCTGTTGCTACGTTTTCAGCCAGCCCTGCCATATCTGCACCCCTGCTGCCAGAACCTCGTCGTAGCTCTCTCTAAGAGCCTTCAAAAATGAAATCAATTTACTTTAACAAAGCATAAAAAGAATTTGGGTGATTTTAGTATTAGGTGAAGGTGAAGAGGCTCGGCAGGTGAACAAGAAAATAGAAACAAAATAACTTCAGGAAAAATAAAAAAATCCTTGTCCAAATAGGAAGAAAAATACGACATAATTTTAAGGAATCGAGAGTTAAGGAAAAGGTAACTCAACTGATTTTGATTGTCAAAACAGACTTAAATCTTGCATTAGTTTGAGAAACATGGGACATCTCTTTCTACGTGTGCAAAACACTATCTGGTTCTGTTGTGATTACTGATTACATAATCATAAATGCTATTTGTTTAAGTTTTAGAATAACATGATACATGGGTGACATAATTAAAGTAACATAAAAATTGTAAGCTTTGAGAATATAATTTATAACTGAAGATTTTCAAAGGACTAGGAGAGAAGAGAAAGCAAGGCTAGACTGAAACTCTAGAGTAACAAAAGTCCTATAGAAATAACAGAAGGAGCTTCCTTTTAAAAAGTAGAAAACGTAAAATTAATGATAATTTATTTTAACTTAATGTATTAAAGATGTTATTTCAGTGTGTAACCAGTATCAGCTGTGGCCATAAATTATTGCAAACATCAATGGTAAGAACATCGGACTTTCATTTTCTCACAGTTCTGGAAGCCAAAGATCCAAAATCAAGGTACCTTTCCTCTTCCATTTCTTACAGACACTGGCCATCAGATTTGAGGCCACACAAATCCAGGATGTTTACATCTAGGGATTCTTACTTAATTGCATCTGCAGAGACCCAAATAAGTTCATATTGGGAAGATCTAGATGGACATATCCTGTGAGGGTCCATTATTCCATACTCTACAAGAGTTAGCTAAGGACTTTTAGGCCTCACCCCAGGTGCCATTACTTGTTATTTCATAATTTTGTACATTTCCAAGTAATGGTCTGCTAAAAAGTGCCTTTTTATTATTTTCTGGGCTCCACATCCCATAAAGCAGGATTAATGGCTCCCCTTTCCCATTTCCTATAGCACTTTATACACACCTCTTTGGCTGCACTGGTTTATAGCACCTTGCTTACATGTCTGATTTCCCACTTAAGTGGTGAACTTTTCCAGGGTGGAGCTCTACCTCACTCAGCTTTGTTTCCACAGTGTCTAGCACAATGAAGTATGTTTGTGGAAATGGATTGAAAGGCGGGAACACAGGATTGAGTCTCTCCCACTCCAACCTCAGGTGCTAGTTTATGTAAGAGTCTTCATTACTGTTCAGTCAGTTCTGTCTCACTCTGCTCTCTGTTACACACTCATCTAAGTAACCCTTTGCTTCATAGAAATGAAGAGGCTGCTTTGAGTAAATTTCTCAATTGTTTTGACCTCTGTTTTCTTGCCTAGGAATAAAAAGCATACTTTATTTCTAAAAATTAAATAAAATGCTACTGATGTCATCAGATTGTTTAATGGAAGTCACTTGAGATTAGTTAAATTCCTCATACTGCGCCTGGCACACAGGAAGTGCTGCATGTGTTGTTATCATTAATAGCCATAATATATTTCTAAATGAATGACTTAGCCAGGGTCCCTGCCTTTCAGTTCAATAAGCTTTCCTAAAGATATAAATAAAATTAGAAGCCTTTTTGTTGGCTTAGCTACCAGTATTTTCTTCATCTCCTTTGTTTAAAGATAAGTACATGATTACATGTTTCTCTTTTCAAGCCAAAGATACTCTCAGCATTTCACCCATTACCACATTTGTAAGGACTTCCTGAATAGAAAAATTAAAGGTTAGTCATTCCTTTGTTTATGGCACTTTTCCTGTAAAGTTGTGTGGTTTCACAGAAGCTAAAGTTTGTTTTTGTTGGTGGTGGTTACATTAATGCACTCCATTTCCCAGCATAAGTGGGTGAGTGTCACCCTGACTGGGGTAGAGTTTAAAAGCACAGGGACCCCTAGGCAATCAGTATTCACATTTTATATAGATAGATTCCATATTTTCTCTCTGTCCTGCCTTGTGCTACAAGGGACAGAGCAGCAGTGATTCCATTCCGCTGAATCAGCAGCACACCTGGGACCACCCACACATCAGGTGAGTACCATACTGTTTAGAAGAATCTGATAATCCAAACTTGTAAAATAGGCCTCTTTTTCCATTAGGGAAAGGTTTTCTTTTTCCCTGTTCTCTTCAGTAAAACTATGGGTCAGAGCCTACCACAGGATTACTTCTTAGTTAGACTGGTTGCTGCTAGTTAAAGGGGATCTAATCTTTTAGCAGTCAGTATTTTGAAATACGGAAGGGTGGGTGGAGAATTACAAGGGCCAAAGTTCAGGATTGGGGAAGATATATGAACAATAAGGGCTTTATCTTTTAGGAAACTTTAAGAGAAAATTAGACCTTGGAGAGCCAGGAGAAAACCCCTGTGTGTACTCTTTATGCCAGGATGACTGACAGTGAATATTAGCTACAGTTTGATTTTTGTGGAAAGAGTCTAAGCTTTAGAATAAGGCAGCCATGAGCATGAACCCCAGCTATGCCACTTAACAAAGGATCTGATTTTTGGACTGGTTATAGAATATCACTGAGCCGCAATTGCTATATTGTGAAGGAAGATAATCTACAAAATATTTTTGTCATGTAATTAGTGCTTTGTAGACTCACTCTCACATCATGGTTGTGCTTCTGTCTTGTTGCTGAGTGTATCAAAATGTTCTTTATATAAGGTAGTTGGCACCTAAAAATATAGACTTCAAATGTCCTTTCAATGTCTCATTTTGTACAAGATACAGAATCAATTCCCTCATCCCTAAAGAAAGGATACTATTAGTTGAATTGTCAATATTTGACTGTTGTAGACTTACCATTTCATATGATTCATTACTCAACCAAAACTTATCTGCCTCATTTACCTCAACTTCAACAAGGATCAAATGAAATAATATGAATGATTTAAAAGTGCTTTGTAAAAATAAGGCTATTATTATTAATGCAGGCTCCAAATCTACTTATAACAGAGAATGTAAACAGAGGGCCCTTCTACTTGATCATTAAAAGGAAAAGCTAAATCAACTCTTCCTAGTGGGTAGGAAATTTGCAGGGACTGCAGGAGGCTGGGAGCTTGCTGTTTGGTTTTTCTCTCCCACTGTTGATAGGATCTGAGGCTCACGCTCAGGTGCTGTCCATACAACTTACTCCTTTCTTCCTTGTCCACCCTTAAAATTCCCAGTCCCAATGGGATCAGAACCAGGATGGGAAGAGTACACTGGACTATGGTGATGGCACATAGGTGAAATGGTGGTGGAAAGGCCATGGGGATTACAACTGAGATGAAAAAAATGTACAAAATGAAGAATAATTTTATAAAAAGTATTAAAAAAAATTCCAGCCCCATACTATGCATTCAATATGTTGAATGAATGAATGAAAGTAGGACCAACCTTGGGAAAGTCACCATGCAAATTTTTGTCTAGGTGAAATGAGATGAAACTTGGCATCCAGGATACAACCTTGAGTAGAAGCTGATTTACCAAAGGGTGGTGCAAGGTTTTATTTTCCTTATCTTTGTAATTGAATTATAATCATAGGTAGTTTCTTCTAATAAAAGTTTATGTTACTAGAGGAAAAATAAAAAACCTTTATCAGTGTCATAACACGCCTGAAAATGGAAGCGTCTACATTTTATAGACCAGTGAAAGATTGATACTGTTAATCCAGAAATTCAGTAATGAGGGGGACTGAGGAGGCAGGATAATTTTACATGATTAAATGTTTAGCATCTATTGGCAGAGGCAGTATGTCCTCTGTTTACTCCCTTTTGCCTCTGGAGCCAGCTGTTGCCTAGAGCCAGCAAAATTGTTTGATTTGTGTCTTGTCATTGTACTAACAGTAGCTGTTCCCAGGTTTATACCTTTAGAGATAAGACACCGCAAGTTAGTTGAGTGGCATTACTGTATATTCTAAGAGTCTTTTAGTCCTTCATGGAATTTTCACTGTGTTGAGAATTTTAAGGTTGTATTAAATAATATATACAAATACATTAATTCCTTATTTCTAGATATAATTTAATACTCCTGAGTTTTTAAGGTTATTTTTAATTCTACAACATGAGATGCTAATTTTAATGATCATTAATTAATGACTATAAATTACTTTTTAAAGGTTTGTTTTTATTTATGCATATAAGAACTGGGGTGCAGGCTGGAGGTATGGGGGATGAGAGGATTCACCAGAGACAGCGTGGCGAGCAGAACAAGCAGGTTGACTGAAATAAACTGCTGAGGGAAGCAGCGGGAGAGACAGGAGAAGTCTGCTACTCCATGTGGGTCAGCTCCCTGGCCAGAGAACAATCTCATGCTGCTGTGGCTGGCCATAGCTTGATAGCTCTGAGACTTTAACCGCTGAGCCACCAGGGAGGCCCCTGTAAATTAGTATTTTATTCAACATTTATTGATAAAATTTTACAAATACAAAACTTTTGTTAAATAATGATTTTTAGTTTTAGCATCTGTAACTATTTAATCAGTAGTGAAACTGTCAGCATCATTATTTTTATAGATATTTCATGGGCCTCCTCCCATTACTCATAGGCTCTTAGGACTTGTAGATAATGGGAACTTCTTACCACCAAGTTGGTTTAAGTGCCTGATGCACTGTTACACCAATTACTGAACAAGAGGGTTCCAGAGAGAAATGCTTTATGAACGGGGAAATGGTGCTGTCTTTGTGAGCCAGCCTCAGCTAAAATCACCAAGAATGAAAAGTCTGAGGTTGCTTTTTTTTAAAAATAGGAGTGACACTTGCAACTATTAAATATATCTATAATGTGCAGAAAAGTGAGAGATGCTCCGAGATCTAAGATTTAATCAGAATAAGAAAAATATGAATTAAAAGAAGTTTCTAAATGGGTTAAAAAAAATAGAAGTAGGTACATTCTGGGGCTAGAAAAGGGTATATATATGTATATAGAGAGAAGTTGGAGAAACAAATTCACTATTTTGAGAAAGTGCATAAATCAAAAGAATGTTTCAGCAACTAGCTATTTTGGCAGGGGCTCAGGTGGTTGTGCCAGTGATCTCAGAGTCAATTCACCCTGTTCATCTTTGCCAGCCCTGCTGCCTCCAGATCCAATCTCCTGGTGCTAGAAACAGGCTTGCCCAAGAGAAAGGTTTCCTTTTAAGGAGGTTATTTAGAGAGTGCTACTCCTTGATTCTTATATCCAGTAACGGCTAAAGGCTAAGTTGGCTAAGAGGTAGAGGAAATTTAGACAACATTCTGAATAATTAAGCATTAAGAATTTATTGATGTTATGATTAATTTTTAAAGAGCATATTTTCTTCATTGAGAAATTACAGAATTTCCTTTTAAGTTTTGTATTTAAACAGTTGTTTCTTGAAACAATAGATAGTGCTGTTGAAAGCAGGTGGTAACTATTGCTGTTTTGTAATCAGGCTTTTATTGTTTCCTGATGGTATTTTTTATTATTAGAGAGCCAAGTTCTCATTTTGACTAATACCTTAGGCATTTTCAATTAGTTAGGTCTTTCAATGGGTTTATATATAAGGAAATTTTGTCTTGTGGTTTTCTCCAGAAATGTTGCATTGTGACTTTTCTCAAATGATTTATTTAGTTGAAAACCTTCCCCCCCCACCCCCCACTTTGTAATGATTTGTCAGATGAGAATGTAGCACAATTTATTTCTTCCTGAGAGAGGAACTGCTTTTACATTTGACTTTTTTTTTTTTTTTTTTGCTTTACTTAGCCTTAGACTATCCTGCCATTTCACCTGGGATGAGATGAGCCAGAAGTCTTAGGCTCTAATTCAGCCTACAAATAATATCGAATGTTTATCACATGCCAGGTACTGCTTTACATCTTAAGCCTCCAGAGAGAAATGAGAGAAACTTTACTCTTCAGAAGCACCTAGTATATAGAGACACCAACAGGTAAAACTGCTAACTGTCTTTCTGTTTCTATGTGATATGTGCCATAGGGGGTACACGGGGGAGGGACTGCTTGGATAACTCCATCTGGGGTTTCAGCAAGGGTGTTAGAGAAACTGAATACATAACATCAGAAGGAAGTTCGAGAAGGTTATCCTTGAGCTGAGTTTGGAAAGAGGGATTAATTTGCTAGGAATAAAGGTGAAGGGACATTGTAGGGAAAAGGAACTGCACAGATAAAGCCTGGTGTTTTGTGAAACTATGAGTTGTTCCGTTTGGCTGGAGGATTCAGGATCCAGGCAAAAGCTGGAAAATGGCCTCAGATCTGTGCAAGTACATTTTTCTGGAGTATATTCTTGGTGGCTGACTGGCTTTCTGTATTATATACTAGAAAGAAATTATGGACAAAATAAAACTGTTGATGGAGTAGTTGTGAATGTGATGGTAGTGAAAATACTAACACATAAATTTAAAAAAGACTTCCTCAAAATCCCTAGAATCTGTTTATCGCTGGAAATAAATGTGTTGAAAGAGATAGGAAGCAAATGAAGTCTGATTGTGGATATTTTCAGCTCTCTCCCACAGCCTCGTCAGGAATAATGTTGGCCTGGGTGTTGTGGATGCTCCCTTTACTCGGCAAATTCAGCCTGGCAGGTAGGTCAGCCTAGTCCTTTTATGGATCATGTGATTCTTATTGCCATCTTTGGACAAGTATTGTTGATTTTAGACCAAAGGGATACCTGCACTATGCACACACTTGGATGGGTAACAGGATTTGTGAACTCTGGATTACTATGGGCAGGCATGTATACTGTATACTGTATATGAAAATTGGTTGAGATGGGCTATCTTTTTTTTCTCTATCACAGCACAATTTATTATATTAAGAATAGAAATGAACTAAACATACAAGAAGAAAAGCTGGGTTAGTTATATCTATAGTGAACTGTGCATGCTTGTAAAATGATCAGGTAGGTGACTTTATTATATGTTACTAAGATAAAAATTCAGATTACAGGCTTTTATAGTAGAATATTTGTCTTTACTAGGTACTTGTACATGTTGGAAAACATGTATGTATTGCGCATCTGCTTCTTATTAAGTTCTGAAGTGATTCCAAATGTATAAAAAATTACCATTCTACCAAAAACTTTTCCCCTAAGCCATTTGAAAATAAATTGCTGATAGGAGAGACCTGCGTAGACCCCTCTTAGTGTTTGTATCCACCCCTGGAATTAGAGAAACATGAAGTCCAGCTCTTGACTGTTGCTGTGGAGGGAAGGGGGCCACTGTGGAAGTAACTGCACGTCCAGGCTCTGGTCACCTCAGGTGCCTCTCACGATGGCTCTGATCTGCCTCTCCCTGATAATGAGTGATGCTGAGCAGCTTATCATTTGCCTGTTGGCCATCTGCAGCTCCTCTGTGGAGAAGTGTCTTTTCAGCTCTTCCTGGGCTATCATATATTTTAAAATAAAAATTTTTTTGCACCACCTACCCCTTTGACATTTGCCCTCTCCCTCCTCCCTTTTAAACTTGTAAATCTCACTATGGTGATCAGTAAAACTGCTAGCTTGTAATTATTTTGGTTCATCAGTTCATTAACTTTTATTCCTTATTTTACTACATAGATGAATGAGTATCTGTATTCATATTTCTTACTTGCTTTGCTACACATAATTCCCCCAAGCTCCTTCTGTTTTGCTGTAAATTATAATATTGCATCTTCCTTAGGGCTGGAGAGTGTCCTCTCTGTGGCTTTACCACATCTTCTTGATTCAGTTTCCATAATTTTTTAGACTATTCAAATTTTTTGCTTCCTCTTGGTCAGTCTTGGTAAACTCTATTCTAGAATTTTGCATTTTTTTGTTAAATAGTCACAGATGCTAAAACTAAAAATCATTATTCATAGTAGGCATTTATGATCCTTTCTGTATTATCTACAGTGGTTTATCTTCTTTCATTTATCAATGTTTTCTCTCTGTTAGCTTACCTAAAGGCTCAAAGAACCTCTTAGTTTCATTGATCATTTAATTTTTCTGATTTCTATTTCATTTATTTCTGCTGTAATTTTTATTATATCCTTCCTTCTGCTAAGTCTTCACCTTGTTCTTTTTCAATTAGCTTCAGGTGTAATTTTAATGTGTGTATTTGGGATTTTTCTTGCCTCATAATATAAACCTGTATTGCAGATAACTACCCTCTTAAACCCACTTTTATGCAGCCACAAATTCTTATAGCTTACACCCTATTTTTAGTAGTCTTCCAGGCTTTTTTAAATTCTGCTTACATTTTCTCTTTGGCTTGGGGGTTATTGAGCAGCATGTTGCTTTATCTCCATGTGGTTAAAGCTCTCCTGACCACTTGCAGAAATCAGTTTTTGCTCCCAATTATCTATTTAAATACTTATTCTATTTTTTTAAAAGAATTATTTATGCAAAAACCAGGGTACAGGCAGAGGTATGGGGGTAAAAGGATTCACCAGAGACAGAGTGGGAAGCAGAACAGTCAGACTGACAGAAATACACTGCTGAGGGAAACAGTGGGCAGGTCAGGGGAGTTCTGCCATGCCATGTAGGTCACTTCTCTGGGTCGGGATTGAACTTGTGCTTGTAGTGGCTGTAGACAGCTTCATAGTGCCATGGTTTAAACCATTGTGACATCAGGAAGGGCCCAAATAGTTGTTCTATTTTAAGTACTAATTATTTGTATTATGGCTCTTATCAACTCTGTTCGTTTGTCCTCTCAACTTGCCTTTTACCATATTTTGTCTCTGTCTTCTTATCACATTTTACTTAAATTATCTCCTACATAACTGGCTCCAGTTTCTTCTAGAATATCCTTCCATTGGCCTTTGCCCAATGTTGCCCTTCTAATTTTGCAACAACATCAAAATAATATGAACATAAGGAGGGGAAAGGGATATTGAGGACATCTTTTTTTTTTTTTTTCTATAGAAAGTTCTTGTAGGTGGGAATTTTTCTGGTGAACAAAAACATTTTCCCACCATTTCTTAGGGGGAAATTTAATGAGTATTTTCTAGAGTAGGGGAAACTTATTTCTAGAAATATAAGAATATGAGGGGGTTTTTTTTGTTTGTTTTGTTTTTTGAGGATGTGGAGGAAGGGTTGGGGGGTATGTGGCAAATCTAGTCTTCAATTTTCTATTTCTGAAAATTTGAAGTTGGATTTTGAGAAACTTTAAGAGTTACAGAAAAAGTAACAAGCCCAGAGTTGCTGTATTGATTAGGAAAGCTGTAGCCAACACATCCAGCTTTTAATCAGTCTGTTTTCATCAAAATGTGCAATGTTGGGAATATTTGTCATGTACTGAAGTTACTGTTTTTTTTTCCTAGTTCTGCCAGCTAAGCCTGAGAACATTTCTTGCATCCTTTATCATAGGAAAAATTTAACTTGTAATTGGAGTTCAGAAAAAGAAGCCAAGTATACATGGTACAGTGTTAAGAGGACTTAGTAAGTATGGGAGCTTGTGTGCTATGGGAGTGTGGAAAGGAAACAGACTTCTGGCTCAGTCATGATTCAGATTACTTCTATAATGTCACTCACTCTTACACCCAGAGGCTGCGGTAATGTTGCTGCTACCTGCTGCCATGCTGACAGCATTTGTTAACTACAGAGGGAGGGAGGTGGGCCCATGTGTAGCCTCCTCTTAGAGCTGCCAAAAGGCTGAGAGGAGCCAGCAGTTTAAAGCACAGTGAGAATTCTGTGTATCTACTGTATTCAGCTATATTCCTCCTTCTCCCAAAATGTGTTATAAAAGTGCTCACTCTTCATAACTCCAGCTCTACTCAACAGGATTGTAAACTAAGAGGCAGATTTACCTCAGTTTGCCAGCAATTTGCTGTGTGATCCCTGGTCCACAGTACCCCATCATGATAGTAATTCCTTAAGATTTCACAACTTCAGGCACCCCTTTTAACTCAATTGGGCTAAAAATTATACTTTTAAAATTACAATTCTAACCCAAAACTAGATATCTTAGTAAATCTGTGCAGGGATGTTGTAAAAATAGTTGTGTTGCCCTAGGAATGAAGCCCATGATGGGAAGTACTGGAAGATGACCTTCTATCCTTTTCCATTTCAGAAAGGGAATCTGTAGCTCTAAGTTTTTGTTTTGTTTGTAAATACAAGATCTCAAAGACATTCATTTCCATGCCTTGGAAACTGGTAACTGGTATCGTAAGTGAAATCCTTTTCATGTTTTAGAGCAGAAGAAAGTGAAAAAAAAAAAAAACAACCCAAAACAATATTGTTTGCAGTACTGATATATTAATGAATATGTCAGAGTGATGATTTAAAACACGGGTCAACCAATATGTTTTATAGAGCCAGATAGTTACTTAATATTTTAGGCTTGGAGGGAGATCAGCTCTGTCAAACTTAACACTATCCAGGAGCTGCTGTAGACAGTATATAAACCAGTAGACCTGATTTTCCCCCACAGAACCTATTTATGAACACTGTAATTTGAATTTTATATCATTGTCACATGCTGTGAAATATACTTGTAATTTTTTTCAGTCATTTAACAACATAATACCTGCTCTTAACCCTAGTGTTATATGAGAACAGGAGGTAGGCTCTGATTTGCTACTTCAGAAAATAAGAATGACAGAGGTGCAATAATTTGTGATCCAAATGACTTACCTTTTCCCAATCTTTTTAGTTCTAGTCTCAGTGGTAAACAGGAAGAACCTATAAAATGAAAATCTGGAGACCTCCATAGAGTTACTCCTATTTTTGTGTTTTAAGGAATAATCCCCCTTCCCTCCTTCCACCAGATCATTAAATATAGATAAATTAAAAACTGTCATTTAAAATTGCATATATGTGTCTATCTTAATCAACAAATGCTCTTTTTATTTTCCTTTTAAAAATAAGTTCTCAAGGTTAGAATTTGGAGTTCATGTCACTTTTATAGTAGGAAAAATACATTGTGAATACAGCTTCTGGTAAGCTTACAGCATTCCCAGATGGCCCCCATGGTTCTCAGGCAGGCAGGAAGCAGGTAACTTATCTCTGCTTGGGGGTGGAGAGAGAGGCACAAATCCTGAACTGTAAAGTTCTGGAGAAAGCCAGAGGGAAAATAATAAATGTATGCTTAATAAATGTATGACAGCTGTGCCAAACTCATGTTGAATTACTTTTTCTTTTAAAGCTCTTTTGGGAAAAAAAGTGATAATTGTACAACTAATAATTCTAGAAGTGAAGATCATGTTTCATGCTCTTTTCATTATCCAAGAGTAACCCTACCAGATAATTACACCATTCAAGTGGAAGCTCAAAATGCAGATGGTACAATTAAATCTGATACAACTAATTGGAACTTGGAAACCATCCGTAAGTGTCATTTGATATTTTATAAATTCTTTCAATAAAAGTTACTCCCCTTTTTTTAAAAGTAGACTTAAAATCCAAGTATAGAATACATATCTATTATGTATATGCAAAAAATTTGTCTTATTGAAGAAGGAAAGAAGAGAATATGGGAGGAAAGAAAGAAAGAAGGAATGACCAAAAGGAAAATTAAAAGGACCAGAAGAAGATATTTTTCTGGTTCTCAATTTCCTCTTGCAGCTTGTCCTTTGAGTTATAATTAAAGGAAAAAAGCATTTTTTTAATATAATATAATAGTTTATTTTTACATCATTTTGTACATTTTTTTTTATCATCTCAACTGTAATCCCTGTGGGTTTCCCATCACCGAGTCACCCATATGCCATCACCATAGTCCTGTGCACTTCCCTCCCCCACCCCGTTTGATCCCATTCCCCACTCCACCCCCACAAAATGCCTCTGGTATATGACTGTTCATTATTTTTACTATTTTCTCGCCTGGTCCATTAACTCCTGCTATGAGCAAAACCATCTGGTATTTTTCTTTCTCTTTTTGGCTTATCTCACTAAGCATGATCTTTTCCAGCTCCATCCAAGTTGTTGCAAAAGTCATGTGTTTCTTTTTTTTTTTTTTTGGTTGCTGAATAATATTCCATTGTATATATGTACCACATCTTTTAATCCAGTCATCTACTTTTGGGCATTTGGACTGCTTCCATGTTTTTCCAATTGTAAATAAAACAGCAGTAAACATGGGGGTGCAGATATCTTTTTGAATCAGTGTTTTTGTGTGTTTTGAGTAGATACCTAGGAGTGGGATTGCTGGGTCGTAGGGAAGCTCCATGTTTAGCAGTTTGAGGAACCTCCAAACAGCTTTCCATAGTGGTTGTACTAGTTTGCATTCCCACCAGCAGTGCAGGAGAGTTCCTTTTTCTCCACATCCTCACCAACATTTGTTGTTGCTAGTTGTTTGAAGATGTGCCATTCTCACTGGGGTGAGGTATCTCATTGTGGTTTTAATTTGCATCTCCCTTATTACAAGTAATGTTGAACATTTTTTCATATGCTTGTTGGCCATCTGCATTTCCTCTTTGGAGTAGTCTCTTTTTAGCTCTTCTGCCCATTTTTTGGTGGGGTTTTTTACTTTATTTTTGTTGAGTTATTAGTTCTCTGTATATTTTTGTGATCAGTCCTTTATCACTGGTTTTGTGTGAGAAAATTTTTTCCCAATTAGTGGGCTGTCTGTTTTTTGTAATGTCTCTTTTGCTGTACAGAAGCTCTTTAACTTGATGTAGTCCCATCTATTTATCCTTGCCTTCACTATTGTGGCATTGGGTGCTATCTTTAAAGATGTCGTGGAAGTGTATGTCGTGTAGTGTTTGGCCCGCCTTTGTTTCCAGGTATTTTATGGTAGGAAAAAAGCATTTTTACCCACTGCAAACATCATTGCCCATGTAGAAAAGTAAAACTTTTATTTTGAAAAATGTCTTAATAATTATTTTATCTTTTAAATTATTTTACAAAACATCATTTTTACCATTTAATTATTTTTAAGATTTATTTATTTATGCATACAGAACTGGGGTACAAGCCAGAAGTGCAGAGGCAGTGAGAGGATTCATTAGAGACAGAGTGGGGAGCAGAACAGGCAGATACCTGAAGTACACTGCTGAGGGGAACTGTGGGCAAGACAGGAAAGGTCTGCTGTGCCATGTGAATCGCCGCCCAGGCCAGGGATCAAACTTGCACTGAAGCTGCCATGGCTAGCTTGCAGTGGTGTGCTTTTACCTTCTTCACTGTTGGAGACTCTTTGTCCCCAATCACGGATTATTGGGGGGCAGAACAGGCAGGGTCTCAAGGTGGGAGTGCTGTCACCGAGTGGAGATTCCTAAAAATGGGGGAAGGGGGAAAAAGGGGAGCGGGCACCAGGAAGACATGGGAGTCAAGTTGAGTGCAAGTCTTCCTGCTGTGGTCTCAGCAGAGGTTTATTTTATACATTTCAAGCAAACAGTGGGATGACATTAGCATATGAATTGGGCTGAGATCAGGATCATCTTTTTTTAACAATTTGGTGTCCTACTGACCTTTAGGTAAGACCATAACATTCTTCTTTTTTTTTTTTATCAATGTGCTAAGTACTAAATTTTTTTTTATTACACAGTTTATTTTTACATCATTTTGCACATTTTTTTTTCCATCTCGATTGTAATCCCCGAGGGTTTCCCATCACCAGATCACCCCTGTGCCAGCACCCTAGTCCCGTGCATTTCCCTCCCTTCCCCCCCCTTCATAACATTATTCTTCAAATCAAAATTAAGATGGGTACATAAGTTCATAAAATTTAAAGCTAACATAATTATATTTATCACAGTTAAATAAAGCCCCTTTAAACCTTTAAATAAAGCTAAAATAAAGTCCCTTTAAACCTTAAATGCTACTTTATGACCTTCATTCTCATTGCAACACCTTAGAGGGTAAAGTCAAGTGGAGGACTAGGGTGGAGGTTGGGTGGAGATATGAAGAAGGATAAAGTAAGGTCATCGTCACTGGAGCTCAATTGCAAAGAGATACAGTAAAGTTCCTTAAAGCTGGATAGAGGATTTTGGTGAAGTTCCTTATTTGAAAGCTAAACAATAGAAAACTTAAGTAGTTCTTTAGAAACGGAATAGAAGGATTGTGTGAGAGAGTAGCAGATGAGATTTGGGTTCTCCTCCGGACAGTAAAAGAATTCTGATTATTCTAGTACTGCCTTGTCTTACAATATTAATTTTGTTATAATTGTTTATATTAATTAGCCAGTTGTAATATTTTGATTTCAAGCGAACTTTTCCTGTCCTAGGGCAGCGCTTGCTCACCTGAGCCAGGCAGCACCTTATGAGGCTAAGGCAGTCCAGTAGAAAACTGATGGTTGCTTGGAATATTTTGATGATTATACAAAAAAGGGGGGTCATAACATGAGCTAGTGTGGAAATTCTGATTTTTTCAAAGCATTTCCCTCCATCTGGACTCTGTCTGATGACAGAAGTTGCATAGCTTGTGTCACTGCACCACCAGAGAGGGCCTTACCACTTATTTTTTTTAACAAATGCTTTTAAGAGATATAATTCATGTGTCATAAAGTTCACTTTTTTAAAAATATGGATGACAAGTGATTTTTTTTATCATTTTCTCAAAGTTTTCAAATATCACCAGTATCTAATCCCATAATATTTGTGTTATTCCAAACAGAAACTTCATATCTATTAACAGTTAGTTCCCAATTCTTTAGTTTCCCCTTACCCTAACCTCTGTAATTATGAGTCTATTTTCTGTCTTTATAGATTTGCTTATTTGGGATATTTCATATAAATATAATGATATAGCATGTGAGCTTTGTATCTGATTGTTTTAAATACTGTATTATTAATATGCATATTGTAGTATTATCAGTACATTATTCCTTTTTATAGTTAAAAGTCCAGTGGAAGAGTATGCCACATTTTGCTTATATACATTAGTTGATGAAAATTACATTGTCTTCACTAATTTTGGTTATTGTGAATACTGCTGTTGTGAATAATTCTGTACTAGTTTTTGTGTAGACATGTTTCAGTTCTTGTAGATATACTTCTACTGAAATTGCTGGGTCATATTGTTATAGGGCACCTCAATTCAGAGAGAGGCACCCTTGAAGTCCCAAAACCTGCCTGCTCTAAGTGGGTTCTGCCATCCGCCGCAACAAGACAAAACATATAAAGCTTTAATGAAAAGTGACTTTAATACAGTGAATATACAATATGGAATACAAAGAATGTAACTTCTAAATCAAACACCTGAAGTTACCCATCCCCTCGTGGGCAAAAGTCAACCCAAAAGGGATTGGCCCAAAGCAAGGCCTGAAAGCCTGCCACAAGACTAAAGCACCTTCTGGCCGGGACCCATGGAAAAGGGTCAGAAATGGCCAGACAAATCTGAGAAGAAAAGAGCAAAATCAAAATCAATATAAACACTGCCATAGTCACCTCCCTACAGGTATCTCACCCACATCTGCCTTAACCAGTCCAGGGTCAGGAAACAAGCCCGGTTTCTTCATCACATGTTTGCTGCTCCATGTGGCTTCCTCAGGTCTCCGTCTTTTTCTCCATCTGGCCTCCTTCTCTCTTCTCTCTCCTTTTTCTCTGCTCAGTTCCACTCTCCTTCTTGGCGGGGGCAGGGAACCTGGAACTTCCCTTCTCCTAGGGACCACCCAGTTACACTACCAGTTCTGCTGACTTGGACTCCACTGGCAAGCTGAAAACCCATTGAGCACCAAAACGATCAGCTGTGAACCACCAGGTCCCCCCAGAGCCCACATGTCCGGTTTTATCCCAACCTGGCTGCTCAGCTCCGCCCTCATGTCCCTGCGTGCTTCTTCTTGGTACTGATGGGATTTGGAGTTCCAGCATCTAGAGTAGGGGTGGAGTCCATGAAACCTGTACCTGTTACAATATGACCAACTCTAACTTTTTTAAAAACTCTCAAACTAGCAAAATGAGTGCAATATTTTACCAGCAATTTGTAATTGTTGTGATTTCTCTATATCCTCATCAACAGTAATTACTCATTTTTAAAAATATTTATTTATTTACTCAGGCCCTCCCTGGTGGCATAGCGGGTAAAAGCACAGCACTAAGAAGCTAAAGCCATTTCCACATGAGTTCGATTCTAAAGCCACTTCCGCGTGAGTCCAATATCCGCCTGTCCCGGAGGAGATACACGTGACGAGGCAGACCTCTCCTGACCCACCCGCTGCCCCCCTCAGGGGAACTGGGGTACAGGCCAGAGATGTGGAGGGTGAGAGGATTCACCAGAGACAGAGAGGGAAGCAGAACAGGTAGATGGACGAAGTACACTGCTGAGGGGAGCAGCGGGCGGGTCAGGAGAGGTCTGCCGCGCC